GCAGGAAGTTAATAGACGTCATGTCCGTCCCCGCCCCGCCGACGGTGGCCGAAGGGCTGCGGCAGCCCTGGAGATGTTGCTCCCCACTGCGCTATATTCGCGCCTGGCCGGGGCGCCCGGGGCAGCCGAACCGCTGCCCGTGGAGCGAAACCCTGCAGCTGGGGCGGCGCCCTTCCTGTTCACACCGCGCCTCGTCCGCTTCCCACGGGATCACGAGTTCTTTGAGGTGCGTGAAAACCCGGAGCACCCCTACAGGGCGGGGCTGAGGGGCAGGACCGTCGCTGTGGGCGGGGCCAGGCTGGGTGGGGCTTTCCGTATGGGCGGGACCTGCGGACAGAGCTGGGGGCTGGACGTATATCTCTGTAGGTTGGGGCAGGTTCAAAACTGTAGGGCGGGGCTTCGAGACTAGGGGTCCACTCACGGCTCTTGGCGCGTGTCTTCTGTAGGATGGGGATGTGCAGCGGCACCTCTACTTGCAGGACATGCTCACGCAAGTGTCCGAGACGCCGGAGAAGTCCATGTGAGCAGCTTGGCCTTTCTCTGCTTGCTAGCGCTACCCTGGCTCCCCCTCTCCCGTCCGCATACAGGCTAGGATTTAGACCCCTCCCAGATGACACCCTGAGTAGCATCGCCCTACTCATGCATGGCTTGGCTGGCTCCTCCCTCCCCTAGTCTGTTAGTGAGACTTGGGGTGGCATAGGAACTCTGGACTTGTTTCAGGCTCACCAACAGGAATCTGGGTAGGAAATCCCCCTTGAATTCTTGCCTGGGGTGGGGGCCTCCCTCCAAGTGACTTGCCTCCTTTCCCAGGGTGCCTGAGTTCACCTGCCAGGTGGCTGGCTGCTGCCAAGTGTTCGCTGCCTTAGAAGACTACCAGCACCACTACCACATGTCTCATGGAAACACCTGCTCCCTCTGCAGCCGTGCCTTCCCCTCTGGGCATTTGTTGGATGTGCACATCCTGGAATGGCACGACTCTCTATTCCAGATCCTGGCCCAGAGGCAAGATATGGTAGGGGTTGTCTACACCAAGCACATTTGCAATGGTGACTGGGATCGGGGATTGGGGGGGGGGGGTGAGAGGTGACACCTTGTTCTTTGTAGTACCAGTGCTTGGTTGAAGGCTGCCCAGAGAAGTTCAGGACCAGCCAAGACCGGAAGGATCACATGGTGAGGCTCCACTTGTACCCTGCGGATTTCCGATTTGATAAGCCCAAGACAAACAGAGGGTACGTAGGGATGGAAGTCTTAAGCCTGGGAACAGACACTGTAGTCAAACCTGACTTAGTTTTTATACGAGGTTAGCTGAAACTCTGAGGACAGTGAGTTAGTTTGCTTGGGTTGTATGTCTGCGGAGACAGGAGGGCACTTCCTGGCTGGGAGCAGAGGGAGTGATGATAGCAGGTACTTGTGCTGATTTGTGGCCCAGCAGGGGCATTCGGGGACTGTCCCAGTGCATGCACTCTTCACACCTCTCCCACGGGACCTCCTAGTTAGTTAGTTTGTTGTTTGTTTCCCTCTGCTTACTTATACAAACTTGTCAACAAAGCTGTCTATTAACATGACTGTTTATATTACCTTAGGAAAATTAGCTCCTGGAATAACTCTTAGTGTACTGCTTCTTTGCTTCCTTTAAAAATAGTTCCTTTGAGTGTGCTGTCATAATCATTAGATATTGCATTGATTGGGGTTGGGGAGACAGCTCATTCGGTGAAGTGTGTAAGCTTGAGGTTCAATCCCTATCACCTACCTAAAACAGCCAAGTATGGTGGTATGCACATATAATGCTAGCCCCAGAGAAGTGGAGACAAAGGTCTCTGGGCTTAGGTCAGCCAGCCTAGCCCTAAGCTGTGAGCTCCAGGTCCCAGTGAAAGACCCTATCTCAAAAAATAAGGTAGATGGCTACTGAGTAATGATACCTGAGGTTGGCCTCTATCCACCACACACACACCACACACAAGCACACATAATAAGTAAGTAAATAAATAAGAATTGTGAATTGAGGTCTGTTTTCTTCAAATAGCTCAACTTTCTGTATGAAGTAATTAAGAGGATCCATTGCATTGTGGAATGTTTCATGGGAATCTGAATCTTCAATACTTCTCCACTTCTACAGTGCTGGGTTAGCTCGTTGATAGTAGGGGCAAGAACTATATTATCTAGTTAATTTTAGTAAATCTCTCTCTCATGGAAAGACATTTGTGGGCTGGGAATACAACACAGTAGTAGAATTCTGTCCACAATACCCATATCAGATGGCTCACAACTGTTTGTAATTTCAGCTCCAAGGGATCCAGTGCCCTTTTCTGGCCTCTAGGCAGCCACACATGTATGGCACTGAGAACAACACTTACATATACATAAATACAAAAATAAAAAATCTTAAAGAAAAATACTGGTGGGGACTGACCATGGTGGTACATGCCCTTAATCCCAGAACTTGGAAAACAGAGGCAGGCAGATCTCTGCATTTGAGGCCAGGCTGGTCTACATATCAAGTTCCTGGCCAGCTGTCTTTTTTTCTTTTCTTTTTTGCAGGGGTTGGGTCGATGTCTCACTGTGTATACTGTGTAGCTCTGGTTCTCCTGGAACTCACTTTGTAGAGCTGTCTAGCCTCTAGAAATCACAAAGATCACCTGTATCTACCTTCCAAGTATTGGGATTAAAGGATTCACTACTGTACCTGGCCCCAGCTGTTTTTAAAAGGGGGAAGAATGAAGAAAAATTATATTTAAATTTACAAATTATCAGACTTACCCATATGAATGCATGACTATGCCATTGAGCAGTCTTCCTTTTCCAATAGCCTGGAAATTTCATTGTAACATTAGATTGTGCCAAAATAGTAGTTTGGTGGGAGGGAATTTTTGCAGGAAAAAAAAAAAGTGTCTTCCTTGAAAGTTTACTACTGAGGAACCAGGTATAAATGCTGCTTACTGCTTTGTCTTCTACAGCCCAGCCATGCCAGCAGCAGCAGACCCACCAGCCAGAGCCCTGAAAGATGACAGTGATGCTATGGAAATCTGCTCTGAACCTGCTGCCCCACCTCCCTGCAGGCGGACCTACAGTCACAGGTCAGTGTGTACATCTTTCTGTGTTAATGACCCTCGACTTGAGAGTGGGTAACACTGGGAAAGAACATGGGCTTTGTTGGTAGGCGACAACCTGAATATTCTAGTTTCCATCCTTTTCTGTGCTTTAGACCCTGGAGCCCAGCATGCAACCACACACACACACACACACACACACACACATGCACGCATCCATCACTGTCATCTCTGCTGGGTGGAAAGGACCATCTGTGTTTGCCTGGCAGACTGTCTTTCTCAGACTGCGCTCGCATCAACTTCAACTATTAGTTTGGGGAAATGTTTGAACAGTGGGGGTGGTGGGGCAGCAAGATAGAAATGTATGTCCCTCAGTTGCCTTCCAGGAGCCATCTTCCATAGTTGTTTGGACATTGGCCTGTGAGTACCCCGCCTACCTGTGGTGATTAGGTTTCAGCAATGGAGACAACAGGAAACCAATGCCATAGGGGCCTCCCCAGGAGCTGACCTTGCTGGCTAAGTTCTTCTAAGCAAATGCACATTGGTACCAGGAAGATATCCCACAGGAAGCAGGCCTGAGAACGAGGAGCTGATCCTAGGACCCAAGAGGGCATACTCCGTTTCCTGAGTATTCCACAGAGCAAAAGGAGAACATTCCAGAATACAAATGTGAAGAAAGTACAGACAAACTGTGTGTTGCTAAAGATAATGCCATTGTTTGATATGACTGTTTTTTTTCTGTTTCAGAATACCTTCTACTGTCTGTTTTGGCCAGGGTGCAGCTAGAGGCTTTAAAAGCACTAAGAAAAGAAACAAACACCCCTGATGGATCCTGGTGAGGAAAGCCAGACAGACTTTCAAGGAGTGGTGTGCCAGGGCCTTTCTCTTGCTTCTGGATAGCTGCCCTGAGCTGGACCCTTGCCACCTTCTTATTTCCATATCTGATCACATGAAGCAGCCAGTGTGTAGAAACCCAGAATCTGCAGATTCCAGAAATAACCAGGACACACTGAAGGAATGAGATGGAGAAACCACCTACCTGCTTCGTGGGAGCTGCTCTAAGAATGTCACTATTAAACATATGAAATAACATTTTTCACTAATGATCTCTATTCTTCTTCCTATATTCTTGACAGAAAAGGGAATGATTATGGACTATGACTATTTTGTTTTCAACACAAAGTTTTAGGGAGACTTGTAGTTCCTGCATCCCACAGAAGCTGTGAGGTAGGGGTTCAGAACAGCCACAGGTGAATCCAGGATTCTTATGCTCTAAGAGACATCCTTGTTGTCCCTGTGCCCTGCTCAGGCAGTTAAACCCCACTGAGACATGGTATCTGGAAGAGTGCAGGAAGAAACCCTAGGAGGGATATTGACACACACTGCAGGGCTGTTGAGGGAGTTGTGGAGTAGATAAAGAGAGAGCTCATGGGTACAGGTCCTACCAAAAATGTAAAATAAAACAAAAAACCTAGCTCAGGTCTTTGACCAATAAAATCCATCTTTCCTGGGAAACCACAAGCTTGGGAAAGCTAAACACAGGAGGGCCATCCTTACCAAAACCATGATCTATCTACCCACAAACACACCAGTAACAAGCCCCAGAGTTGTTCTTAAATCAACTAGTTGTTACTAATGTCAAATTTAAACAACACCAATGAGAGGTCTGAGAAGAAACAAGGTACAGCCCACCTCCTAAAATTGTTCACAAAACTAAGGAAGGTGGGAATGTGGCACCTCACAGAAACCTCCAATAAAGAAAGATGCTTTGGGTTTGTTTTTTGAGATTTATTTCCAGTGTGTGTGTGTGTGTGTGTGTGTGTGTGTGTGTGTGTGCACATGACAGCAGGTGCCCACGGAGGCTCTGGCCTGGAGCTAGAATGGCAGACATCTGATGTGGTTGATGGGAATCCAACTTGGGTCCTCTAGTGGAGCAGTGAGTGCTCTTAACTTCTGAGTCATGTCTCAGCTTTTTAAAGGAGCCAGATGGGATTTTTGGAGTTGAAAGTACAGTGCTTGTACTTTAAGATCTCACTAAAAGACTCACAAGGGAGAGCTGCGATGGCAGGGAAAAGACTAAGTGGGCTGGACAGATCAATTGGATAATGCCAGTCAAGGAACTGAGAAAAGTGAAAAGACTAGGTTCTATGACGCTCATCTATAATCCCAACACTGAAGAGTGAGAGTTCAAAGCCAGCCCTGGGGTACAGAGTAAGTCCCAGATTTGATGAAAGAGAGGAACAAACTTCACAGAAATAGAAACGGTAAACTTAAAATTCATACAGACACACAAGAGTAATGCTAGAGATATCACCATACCCGATTGCAAGTTAGAAAACAGAGATAGAGACAGCATGGTAAAGACCCAAAACAGTTACATAGATTAATGAGAATAAAGTGACCAGAAATAAGCTCATGCAGTTATAGTCACCTAATCTTGAAAACAGTGTCAAAAACATGCATCTTTTGGGAAAAGTTAGACTCTTTCACATATGGTGCTGGGAAAGACTGGGTTCTACATGCAGAAGAATGAAGCCAGGTCCTTGGCTCTTATCTGCACAAAACTCCACCTGGATCAGAGGTCTTAATGTAAAACTTGGAATTCTGGAGAAAACAGGGAAGACATGTTAAGATAAAGGCATAGGCAAGGGCTTTCTGTTAAACACCTAAGCAGCTCAGGAAATCCAAGAACTGACAAGTGATATTTACAAGAAATAGAGAGAGGCTGCACTATGAAGAATGTATGAAGCTCCTTGTTAGTTGTCTGATAAGGTATTACTATTTAGACCAGTGGCTCTCAACCTGTGGGTCATGACCCCCCTCCCAGGGTCACATACCAGATATCCTGCATATCAGATGTTTACATTATGATTCATAACAGAAGCAAAATTACAGTGCCAATGAAATAACTTTATGGGGGGTCACCACAACATGAAGTACTGTATTAAAGGGTCACAGTATTAGGAAGGTTGAAAACCATTGCTCTAAAGTATTGAAAGAACTCAAGACATCAGACACCAAAAGAATATACTGTCAACAAATAGACAACTGAATCGAACAGTTGTTAGAAGTGGCCAATAAATATATGAAAAAAAAGTGTTCAACATTGAGAGATTCAACTTGACCTGTTAGAATTATAATCATCAATTAAATGAGAACAAAGGCTTAGTACTAGAGGGCATGGACTGCACTGGGAAGGGACCAGAATTTGGTTCCCAGCACTGATATCAGGCAGCTCACAACTGCCTGTAACTCCAACTCCAGAATTCTCAATACTTTCTTCTGGTCTCCATGGGCACCTACATTCATGTGCATATAACCCTACACTGACACACACATGTAATTTTAAAAAATAGTACTTTGAAACAAGGTCTCACTATGTAGTCTGGTTGTGCTGGAATTTGCTACAGAGACCAGGCTGGCCTTGATCTTACAGACATCTGCCTGCCTCTATCTCCTGAATTGTGGGATTAAAGGCATTCACTATTACACCTGCTAATAAAATCAATTAAAAAAAAACAATCAGTGAGTGGCTAGAGAGATAACTGAGAGGTTAAGAGCACTGGCTGCTCTTCCAGAGGTCCTGGGTTCAGTTCCCAGCATCCACATGGTGGTTTTCAAGCATCCCAGGGGATTCAATGCCCTCTTCTGACCAAGAACTACACTCACATAGTGCACAGACATACATAGGCAAAGTACCAATACATGTAAAATAAAAATAAAGTCTCAAAAATTTAAATGTAGGCAAAGTTTGTAGAAGATGTTGGAAAAAGAAACTTTTAACACTGCTGGTGCAATGTAAACAAAATGGAGATGACTCAAAAACTAACAACATAAGCCATATCTCAGGACACACACACACACACACACACACAGAGAGAGAGAGAGAGAGAGAGAGAGAGAGAGAGAGAGAGACAGACAGACAGAAAGACAGACAGACACAGACACAGACACAGACACAGACACAGACACAGACACAGACACAGACACAGACACAGACACAGACACAGACACAGACACAGACACAGACACAGACACAGACACAGACACAGACACAGACACAGACACAGACACAGAGAGACACAGAGAGGACAGATGATTGAAGTACCTTAGATACAGTCATGATCTGACCCAGCACGCCACTCCAGGTATATACACCAAGAGAAATTATAACACATTCACACAGAAAACATACACATAAATGTTCATATCACAATAATTTACAATAGGCAAAAGATAAAAGCAACTCAAATATTGATCAACCATCAAATGGATAGACAAATGGGTTATATACATAAGACTGGAATATTTTTCAGCCATAAAAAGAATGAGTAACTGATCAACATACTGTAAATACAGAGAAACACTGAAAACTAAATAAATGAGAATACACACACACACACACACACACACACACACACACACACACCTTACTGCATAATTTCACTTCTAGTGCAAGTCCTGAATAGTAAAAACAACACAGGTAGAATGTTGGTTTGTATTAGGTTAGTGCTGGGCAGTGGGGAGGAACAGTGGGATGATGGCTAAAGGAGAGTGTTTGTTTCTGTGATGATGAAAATGTTGTAATGTTGACTATGGAAATGGTGAATTACAGACTGAATGGGGAAGCCAGAAGACTTGTGACTTGTATCTCAACATAGCTCTTTAACAGAACAAGCAAACTGAACAGCCATGATAATCTGGAAAACCCCCATGCTGCTGCTGTCTTGTAACCTGGATTGTAACATGAATACCACATGGGAATTGAGAATCATAGCCAGGTCCTGTTACAATAAATCTTTCTGCCAAAAGCCACCTGAGCCCCACTGCCATGTGTGAGCTGTATGCCAGCTGCCCGCCCGAGTTAGGCCTAAATGAATATAAAGAAACTGTATTAGGTTCAAAGCTGCTTGGCCAATGACTAGGATTCTTCATCTGCTAGCTCAGTCTCAATTATCATAAATCTATATATTTTATAAGACTTATCTTATTGGACGCCTTGTTGGTGTCCTCCCTTGCCGGTGGATCCCATCCTGCCCCTGGAGCAAGAGCAGAGGGGAAAAAGGGACTCTTCCTGTCTATCCTTCTTTAAATATGAGTCTCCTTGCTATGTCACTTCATGCCTGGATCACCACTTCTCTATTACATTTCCAAGAATCCTCTTTGACTCATAGTCCCATCTAACTTGCTGTCCCATTGGCCAAACAGTATTTTATTTAGCAATCAATAAGATAAACATACACAGTACATTCCCCATCAAGGTCCTGCCTTCTTTTAATTTTTTTTTCAAATTTTAGCCCTAAGATCATTTTTAATTGCTTTAAAAAATCTGGTGAGTATAGTGATGGATGTGGGAAGAAGGGGCTGCAGTTTATAGGCCGAACATATCTGAAGATTCTTTAGTTAGGGAAAGGGGAAAATACCAAGGGCAAGAATGTATTACATCTGGGCAGTGGTGGTGCACACCTTTAATCCCAGCTCTTGAGAAACAGAGGCAGGCTAACCTCTGAGAGTTAGAGGTTACCCTGGTCTATGGAGCTAGTTCCAGGACAGTCGAGGCTAGACAAAGAAACACTGTCTCAAAAACAAAACAAAACAAAAAGAAAAACGAAAAAGGAATGTAAAGAATGTATTATAAATAAGAAAATAAGAGTCTTTCCTCAAAATGGACAGCGCTGGTTTGAGTTGCACCTGTGGGAGAAGTCTCTCACAAATGGCTTGTTTATAATGTCTTTTGTAAAATAGAGTCAACAGCGTCCAATGAGTCTTCTTTTATTAAAACAATATCATGAGAGTTCATGTATTTTTCTCAAAACTTGTCTAGTCTGTCATTCAGAATACCCAATTTTCAGAATGTGTTCAATGTTGTCTATGCCATCTGCCATCCTTAAGTCTACTTGGGAGTCTCCCAGCAGAATGATGTTGCTGTTGTTTTCGGTTGGCTAAAATAGTCTGTGTTCTTCAAGGCACCATCATGTTTGTTGAATACATGCATTAGTTCTCCTTTGGATCCTTTCAGCACTCCATTTTCAACAAAATCCACGCAGTTGAATATTACTTTGCTATATAATTGATAAACTTCAGCCTGGTTGATAACTCCTTCAAGCATGTCACCAATACTAGCTGAAAAGATGAACATAGGGACACTGTGCTGCTGAAGTTTACCAGAGAAATCCTTATAGCCTTCCTTGAGCATACATCAGAGTCTTCCACAATCTCTTTTAAGTTTGGCTTCTGGTATGCCTTGTTCAACAAGCAAACCATGTGATTTAGTATGTCACTACCATGTAATGGAGATTCTCTTCCACAGAGGAAAGGATCAACCACAACAATGTAATACCGCTCCTTTGACTCCAGTAACTTTCTTTGACATTCGTCTGTATCAAGTCTACAGATGTCAATGATACATTGGCCATCTTTTCCCACTGTAGGAAAACCTACTTAGTGTAATGTAAAAGTCTGTTATTATCTGAAGTTTGACAGCTCCTTCTTTAATAAGACCACAGATAATTTCTTCTACTCTTGTAGGGCTCTTGGTACAATCCAAGAATTTCTGAAATTCTGGCATCATCTCAATGACCTTGGTCTTGTGGTCTGTCTTTCTCTTCAAGGGGACTATATACTGGGCCAGCACCATGCCAGCCAACACTGAGTGCACACAGGAACTCACTACTGTGCTCATCCATGTAAACAGCCACATGGTCCATGGACAGGCCCACAATTGTGCCCTGCAAATCCCTTTTGGTACATGCCCAGGAGTGCAGCCACTTTTTGT